GCATGCTTGCTTATAAAGGCTTATTAGGCCTTTATCGAAACTCTTTCTTATGCAGAAATTTCAAAACTTAACCATTATTATCTTTGAAACGGTTAGGTTTATGAAAAAAAATTACAAGAGTAAAATCGTCTTAAAATTACATTTTCTACCAGAATACATCATAAAATACAGGGTGTTCCATAAGAAAAATCAAAGTTGGCGGCCATATTGAAAAAATGGTGGCTAAAATAATTTTTTTGACTTGACTACCATTTTTTAAATAAAAAATCCAAGGCACTTACCTTTTAACTTTTTTTGATATCTCTTATAGTTTTCGAATAAAACGGCTGGCACACTTATATCAATCACCCTGTATATGGGAAATTCGCTAAAACGTTGGCCTGGGTCTGGATTCAATGAAAACCCTCTTCATAGACGTAAAATTTGCCAATTTTAATAAGACGTAAAAGAAATATGCTCGTAAACCAATTTCAGCCAATTTTTTCCCCAATTTGAGGTGTATAGCTAACTGTTTTATGAAACAGATATTACAGCCAATTTGTTGAAGCAATCTGTGGTTGTTTACAAGACTAACATTTTTGAATTTGGTACTCAAGTTTATCAGTAAGCTCATAAACCCAGTGCTAATTTGGAACATATAAATTTACAGTCACTCTTTCTCACGGGCTTTTTAAAACTTCTTATATTAGTGGTTTTTAAGCTTCGTCTCCTGTTTTGGGTAGGCATATACCTTTTTACTTTCCCTTTCTTATAAATGATTAAAATATATCATAATTTCAAACTTAGAGCACAAACTCTCATCCGTCAGGGCTGTGAGAGCCAAAATTGACCACTGCGCGGAGTTGGGCATGTGCCGCGAGGGACCCGAAGTGACCACTGCGCGGAGTTGGGCAGTCGGTTTTGACAGATTTCTGACCACCGCGCGGAGTTGGAGTAAGCCCGGTAAACTGGCTTTTTGTATATAATGACATGTCATTGAATGGCAAGGTCCAATGTTTCATGGATACATTCTTAGGTATTGTAAATATAGCTTTTCCTACTGTGTTTGTAAGTAATGTTAAGAATAAAAAACATTTTAAGCCTAGATGGTACAATGATCGTTTGTTAAATCTTAAAGAGCAATGTATATATATGTATAACCAATACATTTCTACTGGTGACGTAACATATCGAACTTCATATCAGAAGTTAAAATCAAAGTATAAATTTGAGACAAACCAGGCAAAGTTAGCCTACAACTGTAACCGAGTTCTGTGTGCAAAGAGTAAACCAAAAGCAATTTGGTCGATAGTTAATGAAAATAGGAACAAAAATGAGTTGCCTTCAGCAAATACATCTTTACTCTCACTCAAACCTGATGTTTTCAATGTTACTTTTATTGAGACTGTAAAATCTACTGTACACAGTGTACCTAAATCTAATAAGGATGTAAAATATTTTCTGGACAAATTACAATTAGATACTGCCCCTAGCTTTAAGATCAAACATGTCACTGTTGAACAGGTGTATCAAACTATTTTCAAACTAAGTAATAGTGTAAGTCTTGATGTTCATTGTCTTAATTCTAAAATATTGAAACTAGCTGCACCTTTTATTGTTGAAGTGCTGACATACTTGATAAATATGTGTATTGATAATTGTGTTTTTCCTCAATGTTTGAAGATCTCAAAGATTGTTCCAGTATACAAAAAGAGAGATATGTCTGATTATAACAATTATCGCCCTGTGTCGATTCTTCCAGTAATTTCCAAGGTGTTTGAATCATTGATAAATAGTCAGATAATTGAATACTTTGAAGGTAATGATCTTTTTTCAAGAAATCAATATGGCTTCAGACAAAACAGGAGCACAGGTACTGCAGTTGTTGACTTTATGAAGCAATGTATATATAGCGTTGACTCAAGGTACAGTGTCATGGGAAATTTTTATGACATGTCTAAGGCCTTTGACACTATCTCTTATAGGATATTATTAGATAAGCTTAAGTTTTATGGGTTTGATCAACATTCTTTAGATTTGGTTAGCTCTTACTTGTCAAATAGATTTCAAGCAGTTTTTTGTAATGGTAGTTACTCTTCCTTTCTGCCTGTAAATACAGGTATTCCACAGGGTTCTATATTAGGCCCTACAATGTTTATAATTTACATTAACGACTTACCAAATATTTTAAATGATAATTGCTTATTTCCTTATATGTATGCAGATGACTTTGCAGTTCAGATAGTTTGTAAAGATTCTATTGAATTAAAAAGACTAGTTTCAAAATGTAATTCTGTTGTGGATGAATGGACAGCTGCTAACATGTTGTGTTTGAATAAAAATAAAACGCAAAGCTTAGAATTTAGTCACAGTGCTAATAGAAATATTGATAGTGTAAAATTTTTAGGTATTCTTCTTCAGTCAAATATGAAATGGAATATGCACATAGATTTTGTCTGCAAGAGGGTTTCAAAAGCCATATTTTTGTTGAGAAAATTAAAATGCATTGTTACTGTAGATGTATTGATATCAGTATATTTTGCTTTTGTACACTGCCATTTGTTGTATGGTATTTTTGTTTGGGGAACTGATACTAATGTAAAAAAATTGTTAAAACTACAAAAAAGAGCAATGAGAGTTATGGCAGGAGCACATCACCGTGAACATTGCAAACCTCTGTTTAAAAAATTTAAAGTTCTTACTGTCACTTCAATGCTTGTTCTTGAAAGTATTATGTATGTTAAGTTAAACTCAAACGTTATTCCTACAAACAAAACTGTTCATAGTCATCACACAAGAAATAATAATAATTTTAGGATAAACCAATGTAATTATCAAAGCACAGTTGTTAGTTCTTTTGAGTTAGGAATAAGACTGTTCAATATGTTACCACCTCGCCTTAAAAGTTTAGAACCTGTATGTCTTAAGAAACAGTTGAAATGTATTTTGTTGCAGCTTAGTGTATATTCTTTGAATGAATTCATTGATAATTGTAAATCTATGGACTGATGCATTGATTTGTAAATAATTTGTTGTAAAGTACCTATTTTTGACGTTGTCATACATTGTAAATGTGTTGCGGCAATAAATGATTTGACTTTGACTTTGACAGCCGAGACATCCATTTTCCATTGATCCATTGCATCAAACATGTCCACCTCTACAATGTTGATCTTGCTGGTAGTATCGGTCTTTATACAATTTACAGCTTTGTCTTTTTGGTCAAAATAGTTTTTGTTAGATGTTGTTAATATGGCAGCAACTTTTTGAACAATATTAGCTTTTCCTCGCCTATTAAAATGTAGTCCATGGTCAGTGAAATAGTGTCTTGGCAACAAGTGCAAAGGCACTTGAAACGTTCAACAGTTGTTTATCAAATTGTCTGGTAAAACTTCAAAAGCCGAATGTCAGAACATTGGTCGTTGGTGATTTCAATGTAGATCTATCTGTTTCAGATGTTAAAGTTGACGGGCTAGTAAATATGATGGCATCTCATGGCCTGAGAAATAGAGTCACGTCATTCACTAGAGAATTCAAACAATCAAAAACTCTCATAGATCATGTGTATTCCGACCTCCCAGATGATAGTTTGAGTTGTTCTGTTTTGGTTACTGCCCTTTCGGATCATCATGCACAAGTAGTGGTTGTGAAGTCACGTAATGGTTTTGATGATCATCCTAAGCACACTATGAAGCGTTCCTTTTCGGAAGATAACATCCGTATTTTCAAATACTTTCTCAGTAAGGAGACCTGGCTTGACGTCTTTGAAGCATGATGCTAAGATGGACAAGTGACAATTTACAAGCCTGTCAACAGAAACTCTCTGATTACAATTTACATGTCAAAAGAAACAAATGCTCATTTTTTCAAGAAAAAATTGAGTATTTAGGACGAGTCGTAGAGTTCAACAAAATTAGTAAATCTCCAACGAAAATTCAAGCAGTCCAACAGAAGCCTCGCTCGTCCAATACTGAAGAGGTCAAATGTCTACTCGGACTTGTGTCGTACTACCCACGTTTCATCCCATCCTCGTCACAGGGTACAGGTCAAACTTTTCATCAATAATAAAAACACATGGCAGTTTGGTCAAGTAAAGAAGAAGCTTGAGAAAAGACACTATCTCGCAGGCAAATCAATCAACAACGCCCAGCACTGGTACAGAGGGCAAAAACTAAAAATGTTACATTCGGACCAACGCAGTCGTTTGATGTTCCCAGGATTCCAAGACGACCAGAAGTACATAGGAATCCAGATCCAGTTGCAGCTCCAGAGCCAAGGCAACCAGAAGAACAATCTCCCGAAAGGGCTCAAGCTGAGAATGTCATACCACATCGTGAGCAGGCTGATAATACCAACGCCAGACCACTGCGTGAGCGTCGCATGCCCTCAAGGTTTAGAGACTACCAGATCTGATTGAAAAAGATTGTTCTTAATTATTGGGGGAGACTGTCATATCCTTTAGCCTATCTTGACTACATATGGTTTAGTTAATTACAAATAAGGTCAAGACAGATGTTTATTGTTTTCAATGTTTACTTTTTACTTTTATAGTTGATCATTACAATTTATATAAAAGAGTTTACTTTTAGTTATTTCAATAAAAATAGATACATTTTATCCAGTGTAAGTACTTATCAGCATTAACAATACCAGGCCACTTGTTTGAGTCACAACAATATAATTTATGGAAGTTTTTATATTTCTTGATGATTTTTTGTTGCTATTTAACCTTTTGACTAACAAAAATTCTGTACGCTTTTATGAATTTTACGCTGTGAACAAACAAAATATTTGAATCACCTGACATAAATTATGTATGAGTATATAAATATTGTTTTTCTCATATACTTTGTCATAAATAAATCACAGTATCATAGGAAATCATCACAGAAATTTTACACCCCTAATCACGTCAGCTTGGAGATATCAAGGTCCTAATGAAGTAGAGATATTCCATATTTGAAGTGAAACTGCCCTAAGACTTAGCAGCTATTAGTAACATTTTATTTTTGCCATTTTACCTCTACGTTGTATTCTTCTTCAGAGGACTCTTCCTCTACACTTTCCTCGTTAAAGGTTTGTCCAGTTTTTGCTTTTTTCCAAGCTGAATATTCTTTCAATTCGTCTTCATTAAGCGACTAAAAAAGATAATTGATTTTATGATCAGGCTTTATTTTAGGACAAAAAGAAGAGCTTTTTAGTAAAAGAAGTAGCCTTAGAACATTTTTTAATTTGAATTTTACTTGAAGTTCAATATTTAACTAAATAAAAACAAAATATTAATCTGAGGGATGATGATAACTGATAAAACTATCACTCACACAAAGCAACACTTGCTTAATGCAAGGTGCTATTTGTGGGATACACCAGATTAGTAGGATACACAAACGTATCAGAATAAAGATAAGGTTATCCAACAAAGTAAAACCACTTGTTATTATGCAAATCACCATAGTATTACATAACAAGGTCGGGAAGTATGTGTTTATGGCACAAAAATGTTACTTACATTGCAAGGAACAGAATTTCATGCGAGTACCGTAAACACCTTCCCGGATTGTTTACTTACATTTTGCCTCACTTAAAAAAGCAAGAAATTAACAGGATAGGTAAAACACAATTCATACAATAACAACATTGATCAACATCAAGTACACTATTTTTAACCGACTTCCCCACTACCAACAAAAGGAGGAGGTTCGCAATTTTTTTTGTGGCGATGTTTTTTTTTCTATATATGTTCACCAATTTCTCTGTGATTCTTTTACCGATCAGTGTAAAATTTATATTATTATTATTATTATTATTATTTATATATATTATGTTTAAGTGTAATATTTCTTTCGGTGAAAAATGCTGAAATCCACAAATATTCAACATTTATTTTGTTTATATTTGTGCAGAGAAGGCAATAAATAATAATAACATCCCTACAGCTGTTAGTTGAGACCATTTAAATGAAGCTACAGACAATTCTTCATGAAACAGTTGCTTCATGTCAAAACTATTTCTTGCCATGGAGCCTAAATAAATTACATTGAAAAAATGCATTTTGTTTTGGTTACTATAAAATATTTATTTGTGTAACTAGTGGTGAAAGTGGCACTTTGCTGCACACGAGAGCAATGTTTACGAATGATCTCGAGTGCAGCAAATGCCTTTTTCACTCGTGTTACACATTATATTTTTCCTACAGTCACTATAAAGCATATAAATAATTAGTCTTTCAAACACTATACAACACGTTTTTAGGTTCAGCTGGCAACACAAATGGTGCCCTAGAGAAAGTAGTACCAGCGGTCCGTATCACTCTGCTATTTTTCCTCGGCAAGAAATGTGCTCTGCGTTTTGAGAATATAGTTCCGTATGTTTTTGTAATTTGAAGTGGTTTCCGCGCCAAAAAAAAATGCTTTAAAGGTATTTTCTTGTTTATTAAGATCGTAGGAATGTTTTAAAAACGTTTAAAAGAAAAGTCCAGAAAGTTCAGACATACCAAAACTATAAACACGAAATGACAGGTTAAATCGTAGTTATAAAGTCAATCAGCTGCTCATATTATTATTATCATCTTTAAGTGTTACCAACCTATTTCCAAGCGTACACGGATTACGTGCAAAATAGAACCACGCTGTTTTGTGTTGTTTCGTGGGAATCCTGATGTGCGGCAAAGTATAAACCGTAAGACAAAGTATAAATATGCAAGTATAAATGCAAAGTATAAATATGCAGCAATTAGCAGCTTTCTGTACTATAAACAGTACAAGGAAGCCAACTTTGTCGGGTGACTGTAGGAAAAAAGTATTTTAACGTTTGACCTGATTTGTGTATACAGTAATTCTGTTTTTAATATTGAATATTCTGACTTGTGGAATGTTTATTAACATTCTCTACCCAGTTACTATATCATATCAATACTATTATGCCTGCTTCGGAAAGTCCTAGAGTAAGATGATTTGCAATTTCGACTAGGCTATATCTTGAGCAAACAAAACCACCTACCCGGCTTACACCACTTTTAGCTGAACCAATCTTTCATATACATATTTTCAGGTGATAACAACCAATTTTCTACTTTTGAGAGATTTTTTAGTGCTGGTTGCTGAGGAATAACTTTCATATTGTTCCAAAAGGCTTGATACGTTACTGTATTTCTTTTTATAATGTAGAAGTACACAGATTGCAGGAAACTATGATGTCTGACATTTCAATGTCTCTAGAAAAGACATTTAGTTTTTCATTAGGCCTAATGTAATGGACAACTCTTTGTTTTTTAAGGAATATCTAAAAATGTTTATTTTTATACCCATTGATTATGTAACCTGAACAGGTGACTAAAGCAGTTTTAAAATAATGATTGTTATGTGGCACTTTTGATTGTTTCAAACAGTTTTGCTTATCAAAAAACCTTAAGTAATTAATATATAACAAATTATACATTCACTAAAAATCATGAAATAATTTATTTTGGTAAAAAAATAAAACCGACTTCAAACACTATAAAAAGAATGAAATAATTTCAATAAAGTAAACTTTTGTATTGGTCAAGCTCTCATATTTCAAGTCGGCGCAGCTCTAACTGCAAATATGATTGAAATAAAATATTGTGTGTGTATTTTGAAAATCAATAAATAGTAGCTGGATAACATAAATATAAAAAAAAAAACATACTGAGCTGTTTTGTTTATATATCAAAGGAAGTATTTTCTTGTATTTTATGTTTACTTCAGAATGAATGCATTATGAAAATAACACACACAAATGTTCTATGAATAGGAAAATAATTTATTTTGATATTATGACAGGGAAAAAGCTGGTTAAATATTAAAACGTTACTTTTCCAAGTTAGAAACATTTAAATGCTTTATAATCTTTTTAAATATACTAGTTAATACCACTATAATGCCGATCTTTGGTTACGGTAATAAAATAACACCCAACGCATAACAATGAAAAAGACATGCAGATTAACACCTTTAGTTATAGAAAGTCACCTGTAATATGGACACCCTCATTTAATTGTGTATCAAAAATCATCATAGAGCCGCACCGACTTAAAATACGTGAGCTTGACCAATACAAAAGTTTACTTTATTGAAATTATTTCATTCTTTTTAGAGCGTTTGAAGTCGGTTGTATTTTTTTACAAAAATAAATTATAACCGAATTGTTATCTGGATTTAAAAGGTATTATTTTAAAATTTTAACTTTACAAATATTTATTTGTTATTTGTGAAAGAAAAATGTGCCCAGCCAAACTACTCAAATATTTTTTGTATCTACCTTTGTTGAGAGCCTACTCTAAAAACTCATATTATTGCATTTTGAAAATGTCAGGAGCTTGTGAGTGATCAATACCGCGGTAAGTATACAGTACTCCAGCTGACTTTACCGGCCCCTTTTTGGAAACAGTATATCTAGTCTGCAAAGTGTACAGAAACAAAGTGTGGAAAAATAAAAAAAGTTACAGACCATGAAATTTATGTTACTCATTCATAGTTAAAAGGTAGGTTTAAAAGTGTAAACAATGATAAAAGTACTCACATTAAGGAATTCTTCAAAATCTGACATGTACTTGTCTTTGAGCTGCTGGTGTCGTTTTTTGTATTTCTCGGTTTCTTTCTGTGAAAGAGTTTTCCATTGTGCAGCTGCCTGCTTGAATGCCGCTTTGTTTGGCAAATTACTGTTTTTATTCAAAAATTCTGTTTTGAACAAATCCCACGCAGTTCTGTTGAGAAAAAAAAATTTACAACTTTGCTGTAGAAAATACACCCTAAATGTAAATCAGGATTGAAATAATTCAAGATACATGTAACAATACAGATATTATTACTTTATACAATATATCCAGAATAACATAAAACAAAAAACAAATATCCAAAAAATCAGACACTATCCATTAACATCCCATCTTTCAGCGCTAAAGTTGTAAGTTAGTCATGGATTCAGAAAAGGCCGCTCTACCACCACCACCCTGATGAGCCTAGTCAACGCCATCTTTGAAGCATTTGAGCAAAATGAGTCTGTGCAGCTTAGCCTCTGCGACCTAAGCAAGGCTTTTGATGTAGTACCTCACGATATTCTCCTGCTAAAACTGGGCAAGTATGGCATTGGCGGTGTTGTTCTCAAGAGCCTCTCAAACTATCTGAGGGACCGTAAGCAAGTTGTGTCTCTGCGAGGAGCCCTTTCCAGCATAGGCCATCTCTCACACGGTGTGCCACAAGGATCTATCCTAGGTCCTCTTCTTTTTACTATAATGATTAACGACCTTCATCTGAGTGGGAGATCATTATTATTTGCAGACGATACAACGCTGCTGACCAGAGGTGTCAATATTCACCAACTGCCAACAGAGGCTGAAGACCTGCTCGAGAGAGCCTAGGATTGGTTTGTTGTAAACCGCTTGAAAATCAATGATGACAAAACCCAGTCCTGGTTTGTACGCGGAAGAGGAGAGTAGAGGAAGATGGCACTGTAAAGCTTCTGGGATTCACATTAGATACCAGATAAGTTGGAGCAAACACATTGCGCGGATATGTGTCAAGTTATCTCGTGTACTCCATCTTCTAAGAAAACTTACGCCAGAAATTCCTAAATCATCTCTTCTATCTGTGTACTACGCCTTATTTCACAGTCATGTGACACGTTTTATTATAGATAGTTAACTATTTATAAGTGGCTCATATATGAGCCAATCTGGTCAGGAGTGACCACAACCCCATTGAAATGTTGTATCTGACCGATGGCTCATATGTGAGCCTTCAGAGGAAAATTAATGGTAAATAAAAAGTATAATTACACGGTAGTTTTAATTTAATTTAACCCTCTGAAAGAAATTCATAAATATTCATACAGGTTCAAACAAAAATATTAACTATAAAATATGACAATATTTTTAAAAGCAATAATTTTATTGAATTAGGCTAAAAGTTTCTTCTTTATTAGGCCCCAATCATAGCCTATAAGTACCAAATAAATCCTAAATAAAAAATAAATATATAATATAAATATAAACAATAAATAAACAACTTGTCAAAATGTAAACAACAAGGCTGCCAACTTTAGGCTTCTTGCAAAATAGCATATAATTTCCCTACCCCCAGACCATGTAACTTATACAAAACCCACTGGTACAGTTAAACCTAGTCTTTGTTCCCATTTTCAGACCTCAACAGTAAGTACTCCGTATATTTTATTTTATTTTATTTTTACTCAGTATATTTTAAATTTACTATTGTTATTATAGCTGCTTTTATTATTCCTTTTTGGTGGAAATTATAGGCTACGATAGTTCCAAGGTAAATTGGTTATAACTCTTCACAAGACTGTTAAGCATTATTGCAAGCTAAATTAGTTGTTTCTTGAGATTAAATTAATTCTTGGTGTAGACTAATTTATGTATACTATCGCATTTTCATTAAATATATTGTTACCGGACGGGCGAAACAGCTCACGTCCATCGTTATCCGATAGTATTGTTACAAGTAGGAGCCCCGCGCAACAATAGCCAGGCGCCGTCCCAAAAGGGTTGTTTGTCAACACGGGGTTCTCCGAAAGACAATAGACCCATGTCAACGGACTACGTCAATAGGGTCTTTGACATCCACCAGAAGCTTGATGATCTGTAAACAGCTTTGTTTGGGCTACTAGGGGTCTCCAGAATGTTCCACGGCAAACTTATATAAGTGACCGTCTTCCGGCACACGGCAGTTGAGTTGAGTTGAGCCTTCCGAGAATCGTCGCACCAAGCGCCCGTCGGTGTTAGTGACCAGTGCTAGTGCTAGTGGTAGTGACAGTGTAGTGACGGTGTAGAGACAGTGTAGTGACACTAGTGACAGTGTTGTAACAGAAGTAGTGATAAATCCTCCTGTAGAGGCTAGCTGTAAGTAGAAACATTGTAAACTAGAATAGGCGTTAGTGTAATAGGAGGGTCAAATATTGTAAAGAGGAAGTGTTTGGCAATGTTGTGTGAGTAGGCTGGTAGTGTTGTTAAACAATAACTTGTTGTGCTGACCTACTGAAGGCTGTTGCTTTAAGTAGGTCAGCACAACAAGTTATTGTTTAACAACACTACCAGTATATCTTGACCCTCCTATTACATTAGCTAGGTTAGATAGGGTTTAGGGGTGTGCGATGCATCGAAATTTTGATTCGATTCGATGCATCGAATCGCGATTCGATTCAGTGGTGGTCAAAAAACGATTCGATTCATGAGGGAGTCAGTATCCATATACGAAAAACGCCTGCAGAAAGTCAATGCAATACCCGCAATACAGGAGCGCGTTGCTGTTGCGTTTCCTTTACAAAGGCGTTCTTATTTAATACATTCTTTGCATTAAATATAGCTTTAACTGTTTTATATTTTTTTTGTTTTGACATTGCAAATGATGAGAGGTTTTGTTTTTTCTCTTGATGTAAGCAGTGTAAGAAATATTTTACTACTGTAAACCTAGCCAAAACAAGATAGGTTACTCCAAAATCATTTTAAAAATAAGTCTGAAAAATTGTTACTTAATACTTAACTAGTAAGATTAATGTTATAGACTGATACATTTGGTATTTTTGTTAGGGGTCTGCGGGTCCCCGAATATTTGTTCAGCAACAGAAAAAAAAGGATAATTTATTTCCAAAGAAACACTCTTATATTATTAATCTATTATTACAGAGGAATTAAAATGTTCAAATGAGAATTAAAGATTAAGTTGGCTCACGACCTTTAAGAATAAAGACGCAACAGAGCAATTGCCGCACCGCCACTAGCCAGAGCCAGTCTAGTCGTCTACTGACAAGAGTGACAAGACAAAAGCCGTGACGCAACACTAACAGTGCAAAGAAAACAAAGTCAAAAGAAAGACTATTTTATCCAGACATACTAGTTTAATCATTTATTGTTTATTCCATACCTAATTAAAAATATATTTTAGTATTTTACATAATAAATTAAATTATAAACAAAAGAAATATATCTGATATAGTGAACAGATCTGTATCTTGGTTAGATGGGTTAAAAAAAAATATATTTCTATGATCCAATACAATACAAAATTAAAAGGATGTTACCGGAAGTGTCCACCAGCCACACTAGCGGCGTATTAAGGACAAATACACCGGGTGGTGTAAGAGGGGAGGTGGGTGGGGAGGTGGGTCCTTGGTGGGGGTTGATGACCTTGAATGCACACATCGTTGCCCGGGGACGGGATGATTGGCACACATTTTTGGGTCTCATGCCCATGGCAGTATTGGCACAATGATTTGAGGGGAATAAGTAGGGTCAACTCGCCTGCTTGGAAAAGGCACCATTGGCACAACCACTCGACCAGGTAGACGCCATCGGACGAGGGAAAACGGGAAGTTTAAACTTCCCCGTCAACTCTCCTACAAAAGTTATTTGCCGGTAATATCGCGTATTTTCAAAGGTTAAGTTGTGTTAGGTTAAGTTAGGTTAAGTTAGGTTAGGTTAGGTTAAGTTGGGTTAGGTTAAGTTAGGTTAGGTTAAGTTAGATTAGGTTAGGTAAGTTAGGTTAGGTTAAGTTAAGTTAGGTTAAGTTAGGTTAGGTTAGTGTACTTTATTTGGATCCATCAGCAAAAATTTGTATTACACAAATGTGCATATAATTTTAATTATTGTTAATCCACTCAATTGACAATTATGAATAGAAAAATTTCGTATTGCTTCGAATCGAGTTTCATTGAATCGAATCGAAAATCTTTTGAATCGAATCGTTGCTTCGAATCGAAATTTGTTTGCTGCTTCGCACACCCCTAATAGGGTTAGTTTGGTGTTAGGAAATTGTAATTATTGTAAATACAGAATATTAGTGTAAATAAAATAGCTATTATAAAATCACCAAGTTTTTGTTGTAAAGAACCTGTTAAGCCCGCAACAGTATTTTAGCTCTACTCCTGTAATTCATATCCATTAAATTCTAGTTACCGTATATAGTTTTAATTAAATTGAAGTATTAGGTGACAGGCGGAACAGGGTAAAAACTAATTGTCTACAAAATTAATTAAGTATTTGACCTTAACCTTCAGTACGCTAGGATAAATTATTGTATTTTATTTACCTAATAAGTCAAGGTTACAAATTATTTGTTTTCAACTACTGACAAATCAATGCTAGTTAATTATTATCTACAACATTCATCAGTTCTGAAATGGCAGCTCAGAGCTCAATAAAATAAAATATCATGATTACATTATACTTTATTGTATTTTGTTTAGAGGTGTGCGGATAATGAAATTCCGGATAATGAAAATCTATATATTTAATAAGCAGTTGTAAGTCTGTTTTCTCAGTCACTACTAGACCGATCCAGGGGTGCCCCACAAACGCGCCACAGGAATTTTTGGGGGGGGGGGACTTATTTTGAGATGTTTTGGGGGGGCTATTTTTTTGCCAGCTGTCATAATGAATGTATAATTTTGTATAAGCAGCCCGAAAAAGTGTTTCTAAGTAGCTCACTATCACCCCCAACAACATTTTGCCGTTCGTAATTAAGATAGCTTCTAAGAATGGTAAAAACGGACCTTGCCAGACAATCCTTAATATGCCAGTGTCGAATTTTACTTGCTACTTATGTTTTGGTGGTTCTTTAACAGTCATAATACAGGGTTAGGCAAGTCTGGAACCCCCAAGTTGACTTTTTAACCCGTTGCAGTGGGAAAACCAAATTCGGCACATATTTACAACATAAAAATTGTCCTTTTCATAAAAGTTACAACTTTACCCCAGCCCCAAATTTTGAAATGTAAACACCTATCATGTGACCCCTCATTTTAAATGGTTTATTAAGAGAAATTGAATGGTGCAAACCAGAGGTCAGTATCGCACCCCTAATCAAAATGGCATCCATTTTAATTAAGATGAGCAAGCAAGATTAAAGTCTGGACACTCCCAGTTAACTTTATATCGTGTGGCAGTGGGAAAATATCAAAAAACAAACCTCTCAATATCTGATCCGAGTTGAAATTCTACCTTCTTCATACCTATACTTTACTTGTAGATAAAATGGATACTTTAATAGTTATTCATGTTATTAACACTGTAAGAGTTATAGGAAAAGGTTTGACACAGTGTTTAAAGTTTAATAGTGTTGAAAGGCAAACAAATGATTTGTTTAAAAATATATAACTTTTATAGAAGGTCAAATGTAACAAAACTTCCTTAGACCTTCTACACGGCCATCCTGTTTCCATATAACTTAAGGTTTGACACAGTATATAACTTTTATAGAAGGTCAAATGTAACAAAACTTCCTGTTTCCATATAACTTCTGCGCAAGTATACCTGTATCTGACAATCTAACTGTTGAAGCCTATAATCTAGATTAAGGTAGGGTCGATAACAACTTAATTAATTATTTTACTTACACCGGAGGCTTTTTTGGCTCATTTTTCCAGAGTTCCTCACCATCATTCTCAGGTTCTGCTGTAGCAGCCTTCAACACAAAACATTTTCAGTAAATAACATCTCTCGGACTACTTCAGATAATACATTTTTGGATTTTAATACAATTTCCTATATTGCCTTTCTATTCCAGACCAGAGTGGAATCTAAATCTAGAGTAACTGAGTAGCCATAGAACTCCTGGAAAATTGTATACATTAATTACATTATTTCATTACACATTAATACTTAGTAGTACCGGTTGCCAAAAGGGTCTGCGGGTCCCCTATATTTTTAGTTAGTTCGGGAGAACTATTGGCCCGAAGGATCAGTTTTACCTTAAACTGATCAGTTTAAGGTAAAAATGATTATCAGGTTAAGTTTGGGTGATTGTAGGAGAACTGGCGAGTCGTCTTATCTAACTCGTAAATTCAGGGGTCGTTAAAGTGTCAAGGCAAGTGGAGAAGACTACCTGGCATAAGCCTATTCTCACCAACAGTACCATACCGGTTATTTCGATTGGAGAAAGGGGTGGTCGAGTAAAGAGGGGGCGGGAGAGGGAGAGAAAGGGTGAGAACAGTGAAAATGAGCTGACAAGGGGAGAACTACACGAGAGAGAGTTGGTTGTGGTTGTATGCACTATGAGTAAATGAAAAGTAGTTTCTAAACAGAACTTCCAAGAAAGTATCTATTGCTTGCTTGGCGTATGACAGTCAATACTAATGCTAACATTTTAGAACCATTTTTTTAGTATAATTTTAAATATAAATATTTTTTAATATAATTTTAATTTTAATATAGTTTTTTTTCTTATATATAATACGTGAAGGCGATTTCTACAAAACACTACTCCTCCGTTAATAATAGACAGATTTTTACAAACGACATGTCAAAATAAAGTATTTTTTGTGTAGACGCCCCCTTTCACCAATTCCTGTAATAAAAATCCTCGGGCTTTGCCCCACAGGCCATCAAAGTTGGAGTTTCTCCCATAAGATTTATGGGGGAATCTAAATATTTAATTGCAAACTTTGTCCCAACAAATTTGAGAGAACATATTCAATTCAATTCAATTCAATTCAAAACTACTTTATTCATTTCCTGTACATAATACATTGAATAGTGTCAACAGTTGCAAGTAGGCCTAATAGTTATTAAATACATTTATAACATAATAAAATAAAAACAAAATTTTACAAACTTTCTAAACAAAAAATACATAAATTGAATTTGTTTTTGACTTCAAAGACTATTCAACTCTTCAAAAGAAAAAATAGCCTTGCTGATGAGAAATCTTTTTAATTTATTTTTAAATATTGTTTTGGAAGTCTCTGATTTAATTTCGATTGGGAGATTATTATAAAATTTTGATCCTGCATACATGGGTTTTTTCTCAAAAAGTTTTAGACTATGGTGGCCAATTGCAAGGTTTTCCCGATTTCTGGTGAAATAATTATGACTATCCCCAACTCGTTCCAAATCATGAAGTCTGTCCTTTACTGATAAAATTGTTTCATAAACGTACATTCCGTAAATTGTCATTATATTTTCAGATTTAAAATGTTCTTTATTGACAGAAGTTTCAAAATCTAAATTGCAGATAATTCTAATAGCTTTCATTTGCTTTTTTAGAATAGAATTCAAATTGTAATCACTAGTTGCACCATAAAGTGAAATCCCAAAAGATATACTTGAGTGGATATATGAAAAATATATAACTTTTAGAGTTTGTTTTTCACATAAGGGTTTCAATCTAGATAAAGCAAATAATCCTGATGTGATTTTGGCAAGTAACTTTTCAACGTGACTGTTCCATTTAAGATTTTTATCAATTACCAATCCCAAGAATTTCATGTTGTCCATACTTAGAATTTCTGTGTTCTCGAGTCTGATGAATGGTTTATTTTGATCCCCTAATTCTCGAGTTTGAAAACTAATGAAATTTGTCTTATCTGGATTAAGAAGCAAATTATTAGAATTAAAAAAATTATTTAAAACTGCTATATCGGAATTTGCCTTAAGTTCAATTTCATCATTTGATTTTGCAGTGATTTTCAAATTAGTATCATCGGCATATAGGCAAAGTTCACTCAAGTCACTGAGTTGGGGAAAGTCTCTAAAGTAACAAATGAATAATAAAGGGCCTAAGATGGACCCCTGAGGCACTCCAAATTTCACATCTCTAATAGAGGATCGGTAATGAATTTTATAGTTTTTGTTGTTTTGGTGAATTAATTCTACAAACTGTTTTCTGTTGGAAAGGTAAGACTTCAGTAACTTTAAAGCATTGTTCTTTATCCCTAATTTGCTTAGCTTTGAAAGCAACACTTATATGTTTTGCATGTTAAAACGTTTCTTCTATCATTGTTTCCCAGAGTTAGTTGAATGTATACTAAATCTTTTGTATAAGGCTTTGTCCAAAGTAAATTGTCATAGCAATAATTATTGCAATGTTTGATTATTCAATTATGAATGTTTGATGTTAACTGTAATGGGGACCCCCCGCCTTAATTAATTGGTATATTTAGGCCTATGATAGGCTTAATAGTAAAGATCTGCCACATTTTTTAGGTAAATTTTTCCTCACCTTCTCAGATTATTCCAACGCAGCCTGATTTTACTTCAAGAAAACTGCAAAAATCAGCAGAGACAAAAGAAACGCAACCTGACTGTTTTTTTTAGACAATCGAGTCAGGATGTAAACTTCAAACTCATCCTGCTGCACCAAAATACACAGGAAGTCTCAAATAAAATAAATAGACTACAGCACCTTTTAGAAGAAACCAGACCTGACATAGTAATTCTGACAGAACACGGACTGAAACCTGACACAATAAGTAGCACCGTCATAGCTACTGGATTCTGCCTCAAGGCTCACTATAGTAGAATAGAACACAGAAAGGGAGGTGTGTGCATTCTTGTAAAAGAAAGCCTTGAGAGCAGCACAGTAGCCATAGATGTTTCCAAGTACTGTAAAGAACTGTTATTTGAAGCAGCTCTTATAAAAATAAAATTCAAGAACTCAAATCTGTTTGTACTGGGAACCTACAGACCGCCAAACGGAGACCTTGAGGAATCATTAAACACCTTTACAGAACTAATTGAGGAAACAAAAATTGAAAATTCCCCTCTTATCATCATGGGAGATATTAACGTTGATTTATGTAACCCAAACAGGAAACACATTATCTTAAATGAACTCTTGCTATGCACAACATCCAGAGACTACAGCTTCCACCTACGAGAATAACAAATCTAACACAAACCTCCATTGACTGGATATGTACAAATATGGACACAAACCAACTCACTCCAGAAATCATCAATGCAGGACTTTTGGATCATACTGCTCAACTCTGTACTGTAAACTTCAACTCACACATCAACTCAAGTTATCCAGCCCAAATTGGACGCTGCCTAAAAAATAAAAACCTGCAAGACCTCAAGTATCTTCTCAGTCAAGAAAACTGGCTTAGTGTTACCTCAATAAACAATGCCGAAGAAGCTTTTAAAACTTTTAGTAACATAGTGAGAGTAGCTATGGATGCAGCCTGCCCCCAAAAGAAGATAAAAACACAAAGAAAATATAAACTAAAATTCTCTATGGACCCAGAAGCAGTGAGACTCAAAGCCGAATTTCTTAAAGCTCTACGAAAGTTTAAGGTGACGGGAAATCCAGATGACAGAAGGGTTTCTATTGAAAATAAAAAGAACTACGATAAGGTTTCTTTTCAAACTGTGCCGTGCGATGTTGTGGAAGGTTGTACTGCATGGTGTTTCTCAGGTTGTGTTGGTGCATTTCGCCACGCCTTGTAGGGTTATTTCTTACTGCAAATAACACAACTTCCTGGATGTATAGTGCTACAAGGGTAAGTACTTTTGAGTGACCTGAATGCTTCCCTGCAGCTGTCGAGTCTGTGGAGTCCTGCAGTTATTCTGACTGCCTTTTTTGTTTTCTGAGAACTCTTTGCATGTTAGTGGCAGAGGTTCCACCCCATGCTACAAGTCCATATCTCATATGCGACTCGAAAAGTGCAAAGTATGCTACTTTTGTTGTCATGTCATCTGTTGCATTTTTTATATGTTTAAGAGCATAGATGGTTGAACTTAATTTTTTACATATATTGTCCACATGAGGGGACGGAAAAAGGTTAACTCTGACCAGTTGATGAAAGCTGAAAATAAATCTAAAGCTATCTGGGAAACAATAAACACAGTGTCGTCCAAAAAGGAAACATCCCTAAATGAAATAACCCTTCAAGTAGATGGCCAACTCATAAGTAATGTGACCCATGTTGCAGAGCATTTGAATACATTTTTTACACAAGTAGGAGAAAAAACAGTAGAGAAACAAAAAAACCTAAAGAACACAGCTCAAACTCCACACGTAACTCAAACAGGTCCACCGTTTTCCTCCTTTCAAAGCACAGACGAGAAGGAAGTCAAAATGATTATAAACAAACTTAAAGCAAAAAACTCGTCTGGAATTGATGAAATCTCGTCAAAAATACCTAAGCATTGCTGCAATGAACTAGCACTACCATTGGCTGATTTGATAAATAAGTCCCTAAAACAAGGCATCTTTCCTTCACTACTTAAAATAACTAAAGTATACCCGAAATTTAAAAAAGGTAGCACATTAGAAGCAAGCGACTACAGACCAATTTCCCTCGTTTCCACCTTCTCCAAAATATATGAAAAAGTTGTTTTAAAAAGACTTTTAGACCACTGCATAAATCACAACCTACTAAACAACCTGCAACATGGATTTACAAAAGGGAAATCCACAACAACAGCAATAATTCAGATGGTTGAGTCCCTGATTGACAGCCTAGATGAAGGAAATCTAACAACAGGAATCTTTCTTGATTTCAGTAAGGCATTTGACTGCCTTGACCACCAGCTAATCCTTAAAAAGCTGGATTCCCTGGGGGTATCAGGGATAGTAAGAGAATGGTTTCAAAGCTACCTTACAGACAGGAGTCAGTTTGTAGAACTAAGGCACAGAGTTAACAGCCTAATAAGAAAAGCAAGATCAAATTTTCAACCAATAAATCGAGGAGTTCCCCAAGGGTCAGTTATGGGTCCGGTACTGTTTATTCTTTTTACCAACGATTTGCCGCAACAAATAGGAGACGCCTGCCTTACTCTTATGTATGCTGATGACACAACCTTAGTGTTTAACACATTCGATGCGGCGGGTCCACCGGTGGACCCCGCGCGTCTCAGCTGAGGAGCGGGGGGTCCACGGGTGGGGGAGCGCGCATTGCATTGTTTGCCGGATCAGTGTGGTTCAGCTATTGTTTGGGGAACGTTGTAATCTTTACCAGCCTGTAGCTTATAATGCGAGCTTTATTCTGGTGTAGGTTGGTACAAAAATTGCCCGTAAAATCCCGTCTGGCAATGCTTTTGTCCCGTTTTCGGGGATTTTCTCAGTTCGAGCCGTATTACAAAGACTCTGGTTATTGATCCAGGCAGTGCTGCTACCTTTGGGTGTTTCAGTGAACTACGTCCACTTTCGGAGTAACGCAGAACAATCACCACTGCTCTTTTGTGATTCGTCTTACTGAGATATTTCAATACCAATAGCGATCGCTGATTCAGTTAGCGCGTCGCGGCTCCGCCCGGGCCTCGCCGCCATTGGCGAGCGCCTGTTTAAAGGTTTTCAGCAGCGAATGTGTTAATGAACCACTAGCTGAAAATCTAGAAGTAAAATCCTATGTGTCACTCAGCATGGCCTACCAATACTGCTATAACAATGATCTCGTAGTAAACACATCTAAAACAACTCAAATAGCTTTTGGCCGTAAATCTCAAGAAGTGCCACGACTCCCAGATGTAGAAGTGGAAGATGAAGCTAAGTTTTTGGGCATCACACTCGACAAGAACTTAACCTGGACCCCTCATGTGGACAATATATGTAAAAAATTAAGTTCAACCATCTATGCTCTTAAACATATAAAAAATGCAACAGATGACATGACAACAAAAGTAGCATACTTTGCACTTTTCGAGTCGCATATGAGATATGGACTTGTAGCATGGGGTGGAACCTCTGCCACTAACATGCAAAGAGTTCTCAGAAAACAAAAATACCCCCGCCGCAGCAAACCTACCGACTAAGCGAATTTCCATTTGTCTGAATTGGATTTTCAGTTAAATATATTTTAATAACATTAGGTTTAACGAGTACCTAGGTTTGCTGCTACAAGGAAACTAATAAAGTGTTTTTGAGTAAAATATTGATAGCTTAGTACAAAATAAATAAATTTGCCAAGTTTGATCAAAATATATCCATAAACAAGCAAACTACAACATTTGACAATATTCTCCATAAGAATAACGTATGGGAATTTTAAATTTACAATTTTTTTTATTTTCTCCGTTACTAATAATCAAACAGAAATACTTTAATATACTAAATTATTTGTTTTTTTAAGCTCTTTAAAAAGGTCTAAAGAGAAATCGGGAAATTTTGTGTTTTGAGGGGGGAAAAGTGAGAAAAACCAATTTTTACCCCATAAAACCCCCCGTAAAGCCCCGTTCCCATGGTCCGATCGTGCTGGTTCGCGAACTCATTCAAGTTTATCCCGCTTTACACCTTTAATCCAAATTTCATCAAAATCGGACATGGTTCAAAAGTTGATGCAAACCAGCTTTGCATCAATGGCTCATTAATCAACCTTTCTATTCCTTAAAAGAATACCATCAACAGGTCTTTGACTAAACAACACCTCAACCACACATTAAAAAAAAAATTGTAAATTGACGCTACTACTATTCTTAATGAATGTGTAAATAAAGATTAATTGTCTATTGTCTATTGTAAAACTGTCTAAAGACTGTTGATAAAATTTTGTTTCTGATATTTTACCTCTCCATTTTCTTCTTCTTCTTCTTCTTCTGATTCGTCTTCAGAAGACTCTTCTTCTACACTTTCTTCATTAAATGTTTGTCCGGTTTTTGCTTTTTTCCAAGCTGAATATTCTTTCAATTCTTCCTCATTCAGCGACTTAAAAAGTGAATTTTTTATGATCAGGAATGATAATTTATAGTACAAAGCTGTGTTTGAATATTAACAAGGAGAAAGACAGTGAAAGGGTATGATATTCAGTTAAAAAGAAGGGCCAGTTGATACCAGGACTACAAACATAGAAGGGCTATCCCACTAGCGCTCAAAAAATGATTCCAGCCCCCCTCCCAGCACGGCCAGGTGTGACGTAGCCGCAGTCTCTGTCCCGTACAACAGCAGTACAGTATCTCATACTGTACCTGTGTTTGTGCTTGCTCTGTCGTGAATTTTGTTCTTATAATCCAGATTTATAGCTATATCAGTTTTTAATGGCGTATTTATTAACAGTTACCTAAATACGATGATATAATTCATTAAAAAAATTGTATACAGAAATCAATAATAGCAATAATGTAAAATAGGCGATATTCTTGAACTAGTGGAGTACAAAAAAAATTTACTAAGAAACTATAATTAAATTGATCTGCTCTTAACATTTTAACAGTAAATTGTAATTTGTAAATAAAATGCAACAACTATGGATTTTTAGCCTGAACATAATAATCTGTTTTGTTTTAACTTGGAGTGATTCAATTTCTATGCTTACACACTCACATCCGATTCTTTTGGTCAAATTAGTAATAATTAAATCACACATACAATTGATACAGAACACAAATAAAATTGTAGTATACAAATTTTTATTTAGACCTACTATTTACAGGATTTTCCACTTTACATTTTTATTTTGGTATTTCCTGTTGTAATAAATTTGCTGTTTTATCTTGAGGTGTCTAATTCTGATAAAGATTACAATCTTAAGGCTTCTTGGCACACATTGAAATTTAAATAGCAACAATTATCAGAGTTTGGTTCTTGCAACTTTCGTATTTTTGGACTTGGTTCACATGTTGAGTTTGATTGTAGATTTGTTTGGGCTTAATTCTGTGCTTAAAGTTTTAGGAGGGCTTGATTTAATTAGTTTTGCATTTTATTTCTATATTGGCTTTTTTTTTACTTGTAGCAGGGCTTGATCAAATCAAGTTTAGAAAGGCATTTGATAGGTTTGATAGAAATTTTTATCGGGCTTGTAATTGGCATATTAATTGATTTACGAGGACTAATTTTATAGGCCAAGAGATTTAAATGTTTCAAGAGCAGATTTTATAACTAATATTTTTTCTTCTCTTTTTTTCTTTCATAAAAAGAAATGATTTTGTTAAATGATTAACGTGATACACTACATCTTTATTTTTTTAGAGTGGTTCCGACAAATTGCGACACTGCAGCCAAAAGTCTTTAAAACTACACGTTATAAATGGAAGAAAACTGCGAGTGTAAAGCAAATGTTACAATGGCAGTGTCTAGCGGCAGCGCCCTATGTTATGTCACAGTGGTGCAGGGGGGAACGGTAGTGGCACGTGGAGTTAGGGGGAGCAGCATCAGGCGACACGCGATCACTTCAAAGGACTGGGCTATCCCTTCTAGTGTAGTCCTGAGTTGATACAAGGAATACTCTTCTTCAGCGCACAGTAAAAGAAATACTGAAATGAAATGGAATATTACTTTATTAACACAAAAACATTTCACAGATCCAGCGTTAGCTTGTGAAACAGGTGATATTGTCAGAGATCTTAAACACTACATAACAAAACTAAAATCCACATAGCTTTAACTAATATATATTTACTTATCATTTAAATAATCAAAAGTCTTATAATAATTTTTCTGTAAAAGGTATTGTTTGAAATCATTTTTAAATCTTGGAATACTGTAAATTTCTTTGAAATTAGTGGGTAGACTGTTGTAGAGCCTTAATCCCATATAATAAGGAGATCTTTCATATAAACATAGGCAATGTCTTGGATATTAAAAATTTTTTGAGCGTGTAGGATACAGATGATACAGATGACTGATTTGTTTATCATTGTACATTTGATAATTAATTTTAAAATTCACCATCATTTTAAATATATGAAGTGAAGGCAAAGTTAATATCTCATATTTAGCAAATAAAGCTCTGCATGAGGTTCTTTTAGGCATAAATGATCAAATCCTTATAAATTTCTTCTGAATTTCGAAAACTGCTTTAGAATAAGAAGTTGCTCCCCATAATTCAATCCTGTATTGCAAGACAGAAAAGAACATTGCATAGTACACTTTGAGTTTAGTTTTTAAATCCATTACATTTCTCAAAACATACATTCGAAAGCATGCCGTATTTAATTTACCAACTAGCATTTTTATGCGTGTTTTCCATGTTAAATTATTATCGATATCTAAGCCCAAAAATTTTGCATTTTCAGTAAAGGATATAATATTATAATCATAAGATAGTTCAACAGTTGAGTTTTGCCTATTCTGAATTGTTTGAAATAACATCATCTGTGTTTTAGAATTATTAAGTTTTAGCCCGTTGGCTGTAAACCAATTAGATAAATTAAGAATAGAAAGACTGATTTCTTGTTTAAGATTTTGCAAATTATTTAATTTAACTATTGCTGTAGTGTCATAAGCATATAAGATAAGGTTAGACGATACATTTTGAGGTAAGTCATTAATAAATATTTAAAATAGCAAGGGTCCTTGACCCTTGCGGAACCCCACATTTAGTGCTAAGCCACTATGAAATAAATTTTTTACCATTTTTTACGATTATTGTTCTTTGATGTCTGGTAACCAAATATGAATGCATCCAAGACAGAGCCATGTCAGAAAATTCATAATATTTAAGTTTACTCATTAATATATTGTAATTTACACAAATAACAACGGATCATGATCCTAATAACAACGGATCATGATCCTAATAACAACGGATCATGATCCTAATAACAACGGATCATGATCCTAATAACAACGGATCATGATCCTAATAACAACAGAATAAGAAGTTGCTACCCATAATTCAATCCCGTATCGCAAGACAGAAAAGAACATTGCATAGTACACTGTGAGTTTAGTTTTTAAATCTATTACATTTAAAAACTGGTTTCCAGTGGAAGGCTTGCAGTGCTTCCTTACCAGTGAAAGACTCCAAATATCTAATGTGACTCTCCATGTTGAGAAAGGAGCCAGTGGCCTCCAAATATCCAGTGTTTATTTTATTTTGTGTTTTCTTCTGTGTTCTGTAGTGAATGAAGTGGGATGCCTACATTTCTTAAGGTAAGCCTGCTTATAATATCCTTTCTCTTCCCTATTTAAGGGTTAATAAGGGTTAAGCCTAGATGCAGAGGGTGTGTACTGTATGTAAGGGAAGATGAAATTAATTATGATATTTTATAACTTGTTAAGTTAAAAACTGTATTATATTTTTTGTTAGTATTTTGTTGTTATTATTCGTTTTTTAGAGGTTAACTGTAAGAAAGGACCATGAGGCCCTAAGTTCACCTCAATAAAGAAGGATTTTCATTTCATTTCAATCTAAGGAATAGTGATAAGGCAATTTTGTTCAGTGAAACACAAATTTGATGTTTGATAGTAACAAGACAAGGGTTTAAAACCTTTTCTCTACAAAAATAATTAAAAAAATGCCAATGCCTGGACAGATAAATAAACACTGAATCCGCTTTTCTATACCAAAAACAAATGTAACCAAAAACTTGATTTAGTGTCTTAGGACACAACCCTGTTTGTTTAATACAGGGTGATGTTGCTGATCAGATTAGTAGGATACACTAATAATCAGATTCAAACTAAAACGTTATTTTATAAAGACAGAACACTTGTTGCTATGCAAATACTACTAGACTAAAACAAAAAAATACATTTTTATTACAATAGATGAAGTGTTATGTTATACAGGGTGGGGCAGAGTGGACTCCCTGATTTGATCGGTTAACTGTATAAAAACCATACAAGATTATTACAAAAGCTTTTTATTTCTGAAATCTAAAAACAATGCCATTTATTTTTCATTAAGTTTTAAAAATGATATCGTCCAGGTGACGACCTTGACGAGCGATGCACATATTCAGCCGTTCAATGAAGTTTTCAAAAACTCTACGCAGCATATCTGGCATTATTCCAGTGAAAACATCAACAATTGCTTCCTTAAGGGCTTCCAAGGTCCTTGGTCGAACTTTGTAAACCTCAGATTTGAGGTAACCCCAAAGAAAATAATCGCATGGGCTTAGATCGGGGGAGCGAGGGGGCCATGAAACATCCCCTCGTAATGAGATCAAGCGGCCGGGAAACCGTTCTTGCAGAAGTTGGCGAGAGCGACGGGCGGTATGAATTCTGGGGAAGAAAAAGTTCTCCAACATCTGACAATAGCGCACAGCGTTCACAGTAATGGTTGCACCTTCCGATTCAAAAACGTAGGGGCCAATTATGCCTATGGAGGACACAGCACACCACACAGTCACTTTTGGAGAATGAAGAGGTTTTTGGTGAAGAGTTCGTAGGTTTTCAGCTGCCCAGTAACAAAAATTTTGTTTATTTACTGTGCCCGAGAGGTGAAAATGTGCCTCATCACTAGACCACAGAATAGTGCAGGGTTGTAAAGAAGCCAGTATTGCATTGCAAGCATCTGTACGTTTAACAAAATCTGCTGGCATCAATTCTTGAACAACCATCATCTTATACGGGTGTAAATTAAGGTCTGAGTGTAAAATTCGCCTCACCGACATTCCAAGAGCAGCAGCAAGTTTCCGCGCAGAGCGCGATGGAGATTGTTCAATAAACGCTCTCGCCGCCATTATATTCTCTGGTGTCCTCACACTCTTTGGTTGTCCGACTGGTTCGCTAGGCAGTGCAGATCCGGTCGCCCGTACACTTGTAATCCATTTCCTTATTACAAGTGTACGGGCGACCGGATATCATCGGGAACACTATCATGACGATTCAAACCAAACAGTCTACGAAATGCACGCTGGGTCGCCACCACACTATCCTTATTTTTAAAGAACGTTTCGACTACAAAACCACGATGCTCGCCAGTCCACGGCATGGTGACTACTAACAATGGCGTCCTTCCCCCAACCACATGAAACCTCTCCCACTCCGCTAACTCGCGCTCACGCTCTTCAGTGACTGATTGAAACTAGGGAGTCCACTCTGCCCTGCCCTGTACATCCATTGTAACAACTTAAGATTCATAAAAGAATAAATAATAGTGAAGTACTCACATTCAAGAATTCTTCAAAATCTGACATGTACTTGTCTTTGAGCTGCTGGTGCCGTTTCTTGTATTTCTCGGTTTCTTTCTGTGAAAGGGTTTTCCACTGCACAGCTGCCTGCTTGAAAGCCGCTTTTTTTGGTAAATGACTGTTTTTCTTTACCAACTCTGTTTTAAACAAATCCCAGGCAGTTCTGGTGAACAAAAATTAATTACAACTTTGTAGTAGAAAATACACCTTAAATGTAAATTGTTTTCAAAATTATTCTGAATACAAGTAACAAGACAAAAACTACTTAGTACAGTGATAAAATGGCAACTCTATTAACACTCTAAGAGGTACAGTAAGATATCTCGAATCTGAAGTGGGTACGATACAAATTTGAGTTATTGAGTTTTTCAACTAAGCGAGGTTTGAGTTATGAAGATGCTATGCCGAAAATTCTAGATAGGCTACAGAGGTGACATTCTGGCAGTGATAATACGTCACGGCCTTTAACTAAACTTTTATGCACAAAACCTTAAAAAATAGAGCTCAAGCTATAGCTTCTGAAGGGCAACTGTGGAAGCAATATAAAACAATTTATCATGCAAACAAATGGTATAGCCAGGCCCGGACTGGGACCATTTGGGGCCTCAAAAATACTCATAATAAAATACTCCCCCAGTAGAGGGCCCCTTCACAGCATGTAGCTGAGGGCCCCAAATGGAGTTTAGGAAAGATGGGGACACGGGACACGGAAAGTTGGGGACACAGAGAAAGTTAGGGACAAATAGGGGTGTGGCCGGGGGGAAGGGAGAGATAAGCTCCTGTTTCAGTTCACAAAGAGCTACAATAAAGGGTTGACTTCAAAATCATAAGTTGAATAAACCTAAAAATTGTAAAAGTCAGTCAAGTACTGATTGATTCATGCCTGATCACCTAGGTTTGCTAGCTTCTTTTTACGCATATTGGATAATTTAAATATATATTACAGAAAATATAAAAGTATTCTATGCAATAATATTACTGAGTATAATGTAATGTCACTTTGGATATGCTGATGTAATAAATTAAGCGTTACAAGTTTAAAACTCGAATATGTTTGTGATTGTATAGACCTAGATAAACTTTATGACATAAATTGTATTTTGTTTGCACATTGCGTCGGATTATGGTGTTGGTTACTTTTGTATTTGGTGTGTTTGGTTAGTTATGTACCGATTGTACTGGTACTTTGAACCGAGAATACATTTTTTCAAAAACCTGTACCGACAACGAATGTGTAAAACTTTTCACTAAATTAATTGTACTGGAAGTGATTACAAAAACACGTCACTTATTGTATATAACTTATAACTTAAAGATACAAGTGAAAGTTTGTAGGAAGAACAGATTTCTAAGCAGATCGGCATTTGTTTTCAGACGAAATATTATCTCGTAACATTATTGGTATTTGGTGTGACGTTTGCAGTAAAGAATTGAATAAAACGTGTCCAGTATCATACAAACCAGTGTTTTGGATAATTTTGTATAAAAATATTTTAATGAGTATAAACTGATGATGAAGAAAATAGGCCTAAATTACCACCACTATAAAGAATTCAGGAAAAAATAGTTTTATCAACGGCTGAATCTTAGAGTTCCTCTTTTGCGATTAACACGTAAAACTAAAACAATATTTAGGTTGGAAATTAGAGGTCAATCACACTCTTGCAACTACACAAAAGTGAACTGACTCGAGTGACCCGACACCCCAATAACTGACCTGTTTGAAAGGAAAATCTAAGAAATTTCAAATTAAGTCCATTCCGAGAAACATGCGAGGGGATTAACTGGACATCACTGTATTCTATTTCCTCATATTTCCTTTACCTTTCCAAGTACTGAATGTTTATGGGTTTTTCCTTAGATTAAACAATAGGTGGAACACTTTGTACCAGATGCCTCCGACAATATTTTACAACAGGCATTTCTTTAATCTTTCTCAGTAAATGGCTAGTCACGAGAGAAATTCGCCTATATTCACGGTCATCTTACTAATATTATAAATGTGAAAGTTTGTGTGTTTGTTTGTGTGTTTGAAGTTCAATCACGCATAAACCACTGGACAGATTGGGCTGAAATTTGGCATGATGATAGCTTACATTCCCGATTAACATATAGGCATATTCTTATCTCAAAAATCTTTTCGGGCTCCGCCCCAGTGGCTCTGTAATTCCCCATGTTAACCTTATGAGTATTCATATTTAAAGGGAATTAAAGAATTTAGTCAGCTGTTTCAAATAAAAAAGTTGGTTCTATGATATGGAAAAGCATTACAAAGTTATAAGATTTACCAACAGGGCGCAGCACTATATTTTTTTGCATGTATGAAAACAGCCGATTTGAACTAAGCAGCAACAAAAAACTGTGATTCGCAATGAGAACTGTCAAAGTAGGATTGTTTACAGTTATGTTTATGTTTTTTTAATTTCATGAATAATTTGTGATATTTTGCGAATTGTTGATAATTTATTGTTTAGGTGAAGTGGTAGAACATTATGGCTATGGTAGATGTGTAATAGGTACTATAGAATATTGTAAATTTAAAAAAGCAAATTTTATCAAACTGTGTCCTCCCTTATTGCAAACGCAAAGCTTGAGTATAACTGCAATAAGCATTTTATACTTATATTCCATCCCCGTACGAAGGACGGGTACTCTGCTAGTATAAAATAAATCGGAGGCTATAATATCCACACGAAGTTGAAGCTATTGTTTTGTAAATATTCAAGTGCATTTTGATTAAATAAATGTATATTGAATAATCATTTACAACTATTATTTGACTTTACTCCGTGATTAATTAAACAACCCTACAAAAACACTTTAATGTTCTAAATCTGTTGTCGCTACACTCTACAAAAGTACATTTAACAAGGTGACAAATTGAAGGGAAGATACAACTAGATGTAAATACAACAACTCGTAGGTATAACTAGACGTAGGTAAAACTTACAATAAGAGAGAACGAGTCGATTTAAAGAGTCGTTCTCAGAGCTTAGTCAGCCTCCGTTTGCCTCCCTCTCGGCTCACAACCCTATTTGTCCCCAAGTTTCTGTGTCCCTAATTTTCCTTGTCCCCATCTTTCCGAACACCGTATTTTTATTAGGCTTTTGTAAACAAGTTTTTTTCTCACTATTTACGATTTTTTTATAAGAAGGAAGAAATTTGGCTAAGTATTTATAAAATATTCGAGTATTTACTTGGCCTATTATTTATTATTAAAATCAACTTTATTATTTACTAGCAGAGTACCCGTCCTTCGTACGGGTTTGACGTATAAGTATAAAATGCTTATTGCAGTTATACTTGGCTTTGCGTTTGCAATGGGAGAGGACACCGTTAAAGAAAATTTGGTTCTTTATCTTTTAATTTACGGTATGCTAATATAGCACATCTACCATAGCCATAATGTTCTACCACTGCACCTAAACAATAAAATACCCCTGCCGCAGCAAACCTGCCGACTAAGCGAATTTCCATTTGCCTGAATTGATTTTCAATTAAGTGTATTTAATTAACATTAGGTTTTATGAGTACCTAGGCTTGCTGCTACAGGGAGAGTAAAAAAGTTGTTTTTTTTTAGTAAAATATTAATAACATAAAATAAAATAAATTATAAATTTACCAAGTTTGATCAAAATACATCCATAAACAAGCAAACTACAACATTTTACAATATTTTCCATAAGAATAGCATGAGAATTTTAAAACAACAAGTTTTTGAATTTTCTCCGTAACCAATAATTGTACAAAAACACTTTGATATACTAAATTATTTGTTTTTTTTAAGCTCTTTAAAAAGGTCTGGAGAGAAATTGAGAAATTTTGTGTTAAGAGAGTCGAAAATTTGAAAAACTAATTTTTACCCATAAAACCCTTTGTAAAACCCCGTTCTCATGGTTCGATCATGCTGGTTCGCGAACTCATTCAAAATTATCCCGCCTTACCACCTTCAAACCAAATTTCATCAAAATCGGACAAAAATTATTCAAGTTATCGTGTTCACATACACACATTTTATATACATATATGTATATATATATATAAGTAGATAGTAGTGTGCCGATGTTAGACCCAAAAAGTACAAATTCAATAATTAATTAAATTTCCTATTTTCTAATACAATTTTGCACAATTTTTGACAAGTTAATCAAGTTTCTATAAAATTCCCAGTTTTTATCCAAAAACACTTTATTCATTTATTCATTCATTTATTCATTTATCGTTTCAACGGCTGACAGCGATACATATGATGATTAAGATTGTGATACAATTTAAAGCGATTAACAAGATGCAAATGTAATACAATTCAGAACAGAAACAAGCTACGAGATAACAATAAAATACAAAAACAACAATAAATAGCAACAATAAATACAAGTTGACAAACAGATGAAATTAACAATAATAATCTACTAATTTAAGAAAATTATTTGATAATAGCATTTGAGTGCAAAAACAGAAACAATAATTAAGCATGAACCAAACCAAGCAAAGCAACAACCCAAACATAACAGAAAATATGTGAACCATACTGCCGTGAAATTAAACAAAACCAGAAAAGGGCAGTAGAAAAATTTGCGTACACAGAGAGGCACAGGCACAAAACACAGAAAGATCTTCACTTCACCACTTCGAAATCACCACACATTTCTTGAAAGTAGCCAGCGACATATTAAAAAGGTCAATATCATCAGGTAGAGCATTTACGAGACGTTGGGCTCTGGGCAGTGGGCTGACGAGATGATAGTTGGTGCTGACATGCTCACAAGAGAAGAGGTCCTTGGAGACTTCTTGGATGGGTACCTCTCTGTAGTTGTAGCCCAACCTCACACCGACCACTCTCAAGAAGTGATTAACAACCATTTGAAGTTCGGTCTTGAGATAGTCTTGGTGAGGTGACCAAACACAACAGCCAAACTCTAGGTGTGGCAATACGAAGGCCAGGAACAGGGTTTTGAGTAGAGTAATGTCTTGGAAATATTTGGAGCTTCGAAGAACAAAACCCAGGGCTTGAAGGGTTTTTCCGCAACTAGAGGTAATGTGACGTTCCCATGACAGGGAGGAGGTTAAGGTCACGCCTAAATCCCTCACTTCATTAACCCTTGCAAGATTAGATTGACCCAGGCTATATACGAACTGAGACTGAGACTTCTTCTTGCTAAA